TGTTTGTCTGGTTAAGAAGTATTCATAACTGGAAGATTAAGCAATGATAAATGATTCGCGAATAGTATTTAAATCGGTTGCATCTTGGAGCATGCAAAATGCAGTGGAATTAAAAATTAAAAATAGATCGCTGAAAGTTTCGCTTTAAATGTAAAAAAGTAAAATTCATATGTAAATGATTTGAGGAATATGATGGTAATCGGTAAGTATGCCACGAAGTGTATATATTAGAGAAAAGTGCTCTGACTTGAATTTTCCTTAGATGAGAAACGAATAACAAAGATTTCTATGTAATTTCCATTGGGTCTACAGGCTTTTGCATATTGTTAACGCGTATAACTTAAAGAACACATGCAAGAAATAACATACCGGGGAGAAAGCAAAAGAGAAACGATATAATGTTGCAGACCGTCACGCGCGCCGCAGGAAAAATTGCATGAAAATTCTTCGGAAGAGATCGTCCGTGAATTTCTTGATGCATTTCGAGAACGACGTGATACTTCCGTTCCCAGGAAAGTATTATAATTCCATTTACGGTTAAGCAAACGAAACCTTGGACGATCGATCCCTGGATTTATGGTGTTGCCGCGATCTCAATTTCTCCAGGAAACCCGTTGATACCGGGTAATTCGCGCATTCGGAGGAGTATTTCCCAGCAATTAGCGGAATCCTTCCTCGTATCGATCACAGATTCTTCCTTCGACCTTCCGTTTGGCATACCGAATATTTACTTTTTTTCTTTTACGAGCGTCCGGTCGTTCTATGAAATTCTTCTTGAATTTTCATACCGATAGGCGCATTGATAATCGAGCTCCATTAGTTCGAAATTTCCCCGGATTTTTACGACGAAGCTGAGAAATTCATTTATTGAATTTTTTGCCTGGCATGCGTCGACTAAACCAGAAATATTTGATAAACTTCGAAACATCCGATAATTACAGGGGGCATACCTTCCACGTACTGGTCGTGCCAGCCCGTTTAAAATATTGTTACAATCGCGAGTTACGTAGTTCTTACCGTCGAGCGTAATTCCCACCGGCGCATAAGATTGGCCACTCTGCATGCTCGACCGCAGGTTGCAATGATCCTACCTGGAATTGCACCTGACACTGTTCCTTTTGTAATGAGAGAGTGAAACGACGACAGTCAGTGCAAACGACCGGCGCAAGAAACACCGAGGCCGCGCAACTAGAGGGATGATTCGGAAGAGAAAACGGAATAATAAAAATTTTATTACAACAAAAATCGATCGCGATCGGCCATCCGAGTTTCTCATTTCGTACTTTCGCATTTATTGCCCCACTCGATTCTAGACAACTCTCTCGAGAATCAAACTAATTCTTCCTCGAATCGCCCCTTCTTGTTATTCGTGTCCTGTCGCGACACAGCGTATTTCAAACTCCACCGAAATTTATCTGTCTCTATTCCCACGAAAGCACATAAAATTCATTTTATCAACGTTACTGCCGTTAAGCGTTTTCTTATTTTTCTTTATCAAACCGAAGGCACTATTCGATCGTTCCGATCTCTTTCCTCCGTCTTTCTATACGAATATTCGAGTAAACTCTAAAACATCCGGCACATCCGGCATGTCTCTAATCACATTATCGTCCGCCTTTTCCCGTGTCCCGGGGGTCTCGACGCAACGGATTGCATAAAATCCGCGCCGGAATTACCGGCGGCGTCGATTAATATTTAAAGGATCGTAACCTGTGTCTTAAACGCTCGAACTCATTAATGGCGAAACGTTTAAAGCCCGGTCGTATCGATTCGACGGTTCCTATCCCATGATTACGCTTCGGCTCCGGGATAATACTCCGGAGAGCAACGATAGCGGCGGGCCGATTCGACGTCGCTCGTTTACCCGATGCGGAAGACCAAGGAAGCGGAACCGGAAGCGGCTATCGTTCGGATAAAAAGGCGAAGCACGCTAATTAAGCCTTCATTAATGAGGGAACCCGTGTAGGAGTGCACGGCGAAACGGGGAAGGGCGCGGGAGGGGACGTTTTGTAAGGAACGGGCCGGCGAAGGTACAGGGAAGGTTCATCGTCTGCTATTTTGTCTAACCTTTTAATGGCAAGGGGCATTAAACCGCGCTGCATCGTTGTGGAACAATGGTACCGCGTCTCGAATTAACATTACCGCGATGGCTCCGATAGTTATTGTCTCCGTTACAGTTCTGACATTCCACTTTAATTCTGTTCTTGCTCCCTTGAGCCCGGCCGTTCTGATAGTTAACAGGAATAACGAGGAAAACTTGCTCGGCGTTTACGGATCGTGGTTATTGATGTCTTAGAGAACTATGTGGTATAATGGAATTGATAATGAGAAACTTTTTTGCTCGTTTCGCGATGCGTTCTTTGCATTGTGTTCTACTTTTATTAGGTCTCTTGGGAACTCTCCTTCCATTTACCGAGGAAATTGAGGACAAATTTCGTTTGTCTGAATTGTGCTTTATATTTTGTTGAAATTTTTCGAAGTATATGTTATATCTTGTATTTATACGTTTGAAATGTTCGTTTGTTATGGTATATAAAAGCGGAGAGACCTTTCAGCGTACTTCGCGTTCATTTCAATCGACGCACTGTTTCGGCGGTAATCGCTAATAGTCCACGTAGGTTCCCGTGTAAACAGAACTGAACGTGATTCAGAATTTCACCTGTTTGTACGCGTCGCGTTCGAAATGCAGCACCGGCGAAAGCGGTCCGAAATGCCAGGAGTTCCGTCGAAACTGCCGGCAATTTGGAGCGAGAAGCTCCGGGGGCCGCGGGCTTCCCGGGTTTATAAGTTACGGCGCATGCATAATCGCAATTTCATTTGCACAGCACAAGGTATTCTTAATGTCTTTTAATGAAATGTGGCGAGGAAGAATTTCATTTCGTCCGCGTGCAAGCCTTCAAGGAAGGAGCCGCGGGACTCGCGTCTGAAATAAGCGAACCGCTGGAAATAAGAACGAACGTCTTGCCGGAGAGCTTCTGGGGAGACGCTGGTAACAATTACTGTTTTACGGGTCTCATTCGCCGGTATCATTCTAGTAAAATTTTTTAATCGAAACTCAATTTCGTCGTACAGAGCTTCCGCGCGGCATTAAAGCAGAACTTTTCCCCGCACTGTTCATACCGTTGAACTCGTGTCCGTTTCAACAGTCAACCATACTTCACCCGAAATCCCTAAATATTCCTCCGTTTATTTATCTAAAAAGTCAACGAATTTGCATAACCTGTAACCAGAATTAAGGTACAAGCTATTAATCCCGTCACTCGACCATTTCACGTATCCTGGTACGTGCACCGCTTCTAACTGACCCGTAAACGATGAAACATCATTGAACGGCAACGACGAGACGCGATTAGAAAATATATAGCACATTCGAATTCACGAAGGCAGAACTGTGTCGTCCGAAGATTGCTCGACCGGCGCGGATGAAAAATCGCCACGATTATCGCCGCGAGGGAAGGAGGAAGGACGCGAGCTGGGAAAAAATCTTGATTCCTCGAGTAATATGCGGCGCGTGGACGTGTTACGCGAGGAAATTGAAAGCGGTGACGTTCGGCCGGCCTTGAAAGGAACTTTTGTCCACGGCGCGCGAGCAGCATCCTCCGCTTAATCACTTTTTTAATTGCTCCTTGGGTCGGTGACGCGCGGACAAGGGCCAGGAGAGGCCCGGTCGAACAGTCCGTCCGTCCGCCCGCGCATTTTCCCCCCTTCCCGTTCCCATCGTCGTTTTCGTTTCGCGCGAGTTTCCCCGGGACGACCGAAACGAGGAAGGCAAACAACGTTCCGCGGAAGGCTTTCACGTATCTCATTTTTTCCCCCTCCGGCCCTCCCACCCGCCGCCGCTCTCCGGTCGGTTTAATCGCGGACCCTTTCGCTGGGAGTTTTATTCGCAGCGGAAAAATTCACCCGTTCCCCGGGAACCGTGGCCCTTGCGTCCCCGCAGTGACAACGGATTCACCCTTCTCTCCCTTCTGCTCGCTGTACTCGAACCCCCCGCCCCGATGCCCGCGTAGAATTTTTTTTCTGTCTTTCCTCCTTTTTCCGTTCGCAGGCATTACGGTGAACGACAAGCGCCCTCGAAGTTATTTGTGACCGGGAGTTATTAAATTTCGCGTGGACCCAGGGGGAACGTGCCCCGAAATGAATTTTTCCTGACGTTCGGTAATACCCGCCTCGCGTTTTTTCGAACGCGCGAGGGTAGCGTTGCGATCGTGAAATTGAAACGGTTACGTATGAATAGTGTTTGTTTCGTTGGATACTGCTAATTAGGTGCAAGAGAGACCAATTGGTTACTTGTACTCAACAAAATAAGGGGTAATTAAACAAACGTTACTTTTGAAACGTTCTAGAAGTAACGTATTTTAACCCCTTGCGGACGAATGTCGGCATTCTGAGATCAAACTTCCATGTTTGGAGTACCAAGTTGCAAATGATTTGACTATTCGAACAGCAAGAAATTAGTACAGTCTCCTTGTTCTCTATGATTTAAGCATTCAGTGTTTGATTTAGAAAAATCTACAAAAGATTCTGTATACTTTCAGCAATCTCCGTCAGCAGAGTTAAGTGCTTCCTAAATCCCCTCCCAATCGTTCAAATTACAAGAAAATAATTACTCGGAATATAGTCGATCTCGAATACAAATTTCGTAACGTAAATAACCAGATAATAGGTTAATACGAGAATCTTCATATCGAAGAATCAATAACTCTTGCTTTGTATCTTTGCTGTAGAAAGTAACGCATAAAACGTTTTTCGTGGCAGTCAACGTAATTAAAAAGATCAAACCGTTTCATTACGAAACCACCGCACAATGATCCTCCGCAATAAATAGAACACTCTGAGAAAGGAGAAAAAAAGAGAAACCGAAGGAAGAAACGCACAATCGAACTTTCAAATTCAAAAGCACAAAACGTTTCGGTGGTGCAATAGGTGGACGACAGAGCGCGCATGCGTCGCTCGTGCCGCGGGACTAGCGGCAGCGCGGGAGTGGCAGTAGAGTTTCGGTCGCCGTGGCGCGTGCTTCGGGGTTGGTTAGATTCGCGTGACGCGCCGCTCGACCACGGTCCGTTGTGTGCACTGTATCCTGTGGATTGTCATCTGTATCGGTATTATCTGTTGTGCACGTGCCTGCCTGTCCGTTCGTTCGTTCGTTCGTTCGTTCGTCGGTTTTCACGAGAGATGCGGGAATCGGTGCGCGGCGAGAGAGTTCGGTAATCGTCGCGGTTTGTTGACACGACCCGAGGCGCACCGGTTGTGTTTGTTTTCCCGGTGGGGAAGTGCAATCATCTGTGGATTAGCCGGAGCCAACCTGGACAGGTTATTTCGGCGGCCGGACGCACCTCGTGTCTGATCCGTGAACCAGGCTCATCGATCGCCGTTTCAGATTATATTTACTCCTACGACGACGACAACGACGACGACGACGACGACGACGGCGTTGACAACGATGTCGTCGCCGACGCCGGCGTTGAAGGGGTGGGGGGACGATGAGCGCTCGAGGGACAAATTATTGTGATTTTACGATGATAAACCATTACATCTTGTCCAGTTTGAATCATGGTAATTGTAACACCTTTTCAGCGCGGGCAACGCTGCATTAACCCCTTGACGTATTATTTACTTTCTCTAAGCTCGTGTAACTGTTTTATTAGCGACCATTTGGAAGAGATGCAACAAAATTTTCTATTATAATTTAAGTGGTAATTAATATAGTGGTAGCGAATAGTTTTTTCCTTTGATCCGTGAGCAATGGACGACATTGAACCATGATAATTGTAACACGTTCTCAGCGCGGGCAACGCTGCATTAACATTAGATCTACCGAGCATTTAATACGATTTATATGTAATCTCTATGAAAACTGTAACAATAGATTATTTTCGGTTTCTTCGGATATTCATTATATTATTCAAGTGAAACTATGTATTTTCAAAATCACTTGGAGTATTTCTTGCTTTGAAGATATCAATAATTGCGAAACAAAAAAACCCAAAATCAGTCATTTTGACTGACACGGTAGTTCTAGTGTTAACCCCTTGAAATATTATTTACTTTCTTTAAGCTCGCGTAAGATTTTGCTATCGACCATTTGGAAGAAACGCAACGAAATTTTCTATTATACTTTAAGTGGTAATTAATGCATTGATAATAGTGATATGTAATTGATTGATTGATTATGATTTGATAATAGTCTACTTTAAGTGGAAATTTTATTTGAAGGTAATATATTGATAATAGCGAATAAATTTTTGCTTTGACCTGTGGCCAATGAACGACATTGATTTTTGTTAAATTAATCTAGAAATAAAACCCTTTGCGAAGGAATGTCGACATTTCGACGAGATGAAATTTTTATATTTGGAAGACTAAGCCGTAAGCAAATGATTTAATTATTTGAATAGCAAAAGATGAGAACGTAGATTCCTATTTTTCTATTGTCCAAGTGATTCATGTACAATTTAGCTTTATTTTTCGAGTCAATAAATCTTCTAAACAAATTATTGAAATAAATGATGTTGAAACGAGTCATTGAATCTCTAAATTGTAATCTCGTAGCTTATAACTTTGACTAACTACATCTATAGGATTAATTTCATTTTATTCATATAAAATATAGGATCGCGGCCGTCACGAATATCTGATACTGTGTTAATACGTTCGTTACCAGCGTTACATATTTATAACTGCTGTAATCCCATATTTTACATAATGAAAATGAAATTAATCTTATAGATATTATTATTGGAAATTATAAACTACGACATTACATTTAGGAACTCATGACTCGTTTCTGTTTCATTCTTCTAATATTTTGTTTAAAAGATTTATTGGATCGAGGAAAATATTATAATTAAGGAGACCGTCACCGAATAAGCGCTGGTAGCGAATGTGTTAACCCTTTGACCTCTGTAGGCTCCAATATTGCACCAGTTATAATATTAAATATTTTAATGAATCTTAAAGAAACTACCCTAAAATTATTAGATTTTGTCACATCTAAATTTTGCATTGAGAAGGAAAATAAAAGATCGAAGAAATGTTATAGCATTTCTCATTTTCGCTAGGAATGCTATAAAAATTAGCTGCAGTTGCGGATAGATTGCAAAACAACCTGGAGTGTTAAGGGTTAACACTAGAACTACCAAATGGGTCAAAATGATCCATTTCAGGGCACTTCTTTCGCAATTATGGAAAAGGCACAGACGATCTGAGCAATTATTCAATAAATTAATTTAGATGAACACAAACTGTATAAGGAAATACAGAATAATCAGTTCTACTGCTCGGTAGCTCCAGTTTTAAAACTCGTTGAACAGTAAAAATTAGGCGCCAGCCATTGTGAGACGTGTAGTAGGTACTGGGCACTCGGCGATTCGTGGAATTAGGGTCGGGTGGCAGACTGCGGGCATAAAACATGCATTTGAAATACAATTACAGGGTGGATGGACGAAAAAACCGTCGAAAACAATTTATTAACCCTTTACACTCCGTTGGTTCTGCTATAGAGACATAATTTTCATCGCAAATATCATATATTACATTAATTTCAAATTGTAAAATTTTTCTTCTTGTCTCTATTCGACTATAGCAAATTGACAAGACAAATTAAAAAACGTGAACCCATGTAATTTCTCATTTCCAAAACGAAATTTTAGGTTCTTGAACGTTTCACTATAGAAATAAACTGTTGAGGCATTGAAAATGTACCAATCAAAATAACTGGTTAAAGTTTGTTTGTTTCACAATTATATCTTCGACTCATTGAATATTCGAGATGATGTTGAAAATAAATTCACTTGAATACTACGATAAATGTTTGAATAAATTAACCAGTTAACTGCGTTTGACGAGTATACACGTCATCTTAAAGCTTTAAATAATACGAATTAATTAATTCTTTGTTTTGCTTTGGTTTTTCGTTAAAATATATCTTAATATATTTCATCATCTTGCGTTTGACGAGTGCACACTTCATTTTATTTTGTACAGCGCAAAACGAAACATTTTTCAAACTAAATTCCACAGTTAACAGGTTAAAGATAATCTACTGTTAGAATTTTTATAAGGATTACGTATCAATCGTATTAAATGCTCGGTAGTTCTAGCGTTAATGCGCAACGCGGTTGGCAATTGTAGGGTGGAACGCGTGCAATGTTTGAAAGCGGACGGTCCGCGTTGGCCCTGTTTACTCAGCGAGCTACGGTGATTTCGCAAGTCCCCGAGGTGGTTTTTTCGGCATTTATGAAATTCGTTACTTTTAGGGGCGTCGTTTCTATTTGAGGTTAGGTTAGCCAGAGATTACGAGGAAATCTGTTTGAAATACAGAGTGGTATATTCTTTATAATGAGTTGGTGATCAATGTTGGGTATTTTGAATTTTTGCGCCATTATTTGAAGATACTGATTGATTTGCAACCCCTCGACTGGCGTCACTGCTCGAATTGATATTTAAGTGATTTTATTAATTTTTTTACTGATTTATTTAGATTCGAGGAAAGATTTAGATTCGAGGATTTACTTTAGACTTCGAGGAAGTTGAAATATTTAATTATAAGAAAGTTAGTTATTAACATATTATTTACAATTTTACCGGATATATTGTGTCCGAAAGATTGACTGCACCACCGAAGATGGTTATTTGTTTTGCATAGAACTTGGAAGATACCCGTTAATCCTTTATTTATATTATTTTTAGTTATTAACTTGAGATTAATACATTATTCAAATTCTTGACATAGTACTTTAATAAGGTTATATTTGTCCTACAGCAGTAATGATACTTCACCAAATTCTGTTCTAATCAATTATCTATCCATCAGCATGGGGTAGAATTTTATTCTGTATACATTTGTTCTACGACAGTAACCCATTAACTGTGGAATTTAGTTTGAAAGATCTCTCATTCTGCCTGTAGTAAAATGGTTTTTAATGAAAAACCAAAGCAGAACAAAGAAGAATTACACGTACACGTGGAGAAACAAAGAATTCATTGTTGAAAAAATTAGTATCGTTTCAAGTTTCAAGACGACGCGTGTACTCGTCAAACTCGTTAACTGATTAATTATCTATCCATCGGCATCGAGTAGAATTTCATTCGAACAAAGCTACATTTTAAAAACTAACGAGCATTCCGTCACTGCGAGGCTCTACTGTGCCACTTGAAGATACATTCGAGCGTATCACTCTCGTTTACCCATTTTTTTCCTCTTTTTTCCCATGCATGTTTGCAGAAGCGGATGAATGACGGAAACCGGCGTATCGAAAAGACGCGAAACGAGAGCGGGGGTTGCGATAAATCGTCGAGTATCGCTCGCCCCGTTTTCTGATTGGTGATCCGAACAGTGGAATTCAACCGGTTTCGAAAGGGATTTTCACCGGAACGTATAAACGATGAAACGACCCGAATTGCCGCGATGCGCTCCGGCGGAGTATCAATCGATAGGTAATTAATCGGTCGAATCGTGGAAATCGGCGCGCGCCGTGAAGCACATCCGGGAACGGATTTCGGATTCGAATCATCGCGTTAAAAGTACATCGGCCGCACATTTCCAGAGTTAACCGTGGAATTTCGCGCTCGAGGGAACGGGATTTTTCGTCGGAATCATTGTCAGTTCGATCCCGGCGACTCGGCCGTTCCTTTTTTCCCTCCTCTAAGGACACGGTCCGGTTATTCGGAATAGTCCGAAACCGTTAACCGGTCATTAGGGTCCCTAACAAGCGGACTGCGGAAGTTTATGCAAATAAAGATTTTTATAGAGAAACTTTAGAGGCGCTGCTACCGACATCAAAATTTCATTCCGCGCGTAAAGAGCTCGAAATAGTAACGTTAGCGTTTCATTAAAATTTCGATGTCCCCTGTACGCCGCGGACCCACCGGGTTCTGGTAATTAGCGTTTTTGCACGTCGGAAACGTATAATCAAGAGTTATTAATGCGATTTTATGTATTTGTGGTGACCGCGAAGCTGCAAGGAACAGCGGAACGCGAAATTTATACAAAGCTAATTATCATTTCTCGTTGCGCGAATCCGGGGGATGAATATTTACTTGGATTTTTTAATGTCCTCGCGATTAATGGGCAGCGGACGTCGGAAAAGGAAAAATGGAAATCCTCGGGCGGTTTAGGATTCTTGAATATCATGTTCACCATTCTACGTAATCGCGTCGTTTGACCTGAACGGTCCGAGGGGGATGAAGTGCAGCGGTGCACTTTGCTCGGACTCGTTTTGCAATGTCCACGAACGATTCTTGCCGGAGGGATAACTTTAGCCACCCCATTTCGAACGTAAACATACAGTCAGCAGTTGTATCCCGGTCTG